CCGAGTGCGTTCTCGCTTTGTCCCGCTCCTTCGCGGGGCTGGCGCTGGAGAGTGTCGCGTTCAACGCTCCCACATACGAGAGAAGGACGTGCCGTCACTGCCAGTCAGTGTTTACAGGTAGGCGCTGCAGGGGATGACTTCGTTTTTCACCTGCCTACATGTTTTTAGTGAGGACTGAAACGGCTAACCATGAAATTAATAAACAAGACTGACTTTAATTTGTCCGGAAAATCAAATGTGAAATATCTTTTGACATCTTAAACTGACTTTTGTCCACAATTTAGGAGGTATTAGAGAATGTCTTTTCGTGGAAGAGGAGGTGGAGGAGGAAGAGGAGGTGGCTTCAATCGTGGAGGAGGTGGAGGCGGCTTTAATCGTGGTGGACGAGGTGGCTTTGGACGGGGAGGTGGACGAGGAGGCTTCAACAGAGGCGGATATGACCAGGGCCCTCCAGAAAGGGTAGTCTGTAAGTTACGTGGAAAGATTATATTTATTTAATTTAGAATGACTGCTCCAGACCTTTAGCTTGCTTGTTCTTTATTTCAGTATTGGGAGAGTTCATGCATCCGTGTGAAGATGACATTGTTTGTAAATGTAAAACAGAAGAAAACAAAGTGCCTTATTTCAATGCCCCAGTGTACTTGGATAATAAGGAGCAGATTGGCAAAGTGGATGAAATCTTTGGACAGCTGAGAGATTTTGTATCCTTCAAAAAAATGTGTGGTGTACAATATTTGTTTTTTAAAGGCTGATTGATTATTAAGTGGAATTTCTCTAGGACTTTAAAGTAGTTCAAGGCATGGCTACCAGATAGATGTGAACAGTCACAAGTCTAGCTGCAACTGTTGGTGTCAGTAGATGCCTCCTTCACAGTAAGTGCCTATCCTAAAACTTTTTAAATATGACAGAGTACCTTATGTCAGGCAGGTTTTCAGTCAGTACCAGTATTGACAGATGTCTTTTGGATCCATGGTGGTTCAAGATACTACTTTTTCTAGCAAGCTGTCTAAATTTTCTGCTATAGGTTACTCACCTATAAGAGTTGGCTCAAAGGAGCAGGGGTTTTTCTGTGCATTAGGGGACCTCACTTATGCTCCAGATTATTACTTAATTATAAAGGTGAGTTTGTGCTAGGATGTCTTATTGCTCATTGTCCAGATTACTTAAACTGCCAGTAAAAGTGGGCTTGTGCTAGGATGTCCTCTTGCAAAGCAAGCTTGTTGAGACAGAGGCCCTGGGTCCGTTATTCTGTTGTCACGGCGAGATTGACAGAATCCATGACACAAATGGAGGGAGTAGCCCTGTAACATGGCAGTAAGACTTAGCCTGTGTTGGTTGGTTGAGCATCAGTAACTAGCTGCATGCACTTTCCCCTCCCACATTAAATGTGAAGTAAAATGCGCATATTTAAATCACACTCACACTCTGAATGTATTAACTTGCAGATTTACTTTTTGTGTCAGAATTATTTGAATTTCAGAAACTTGTTTTCTTCTTACAATAACATATTAAGAAAATATGTTACTGGATTTTGCAGCTCCTGGCTTCCCCATTTAATCTTGAATTTTAATTAAGCGGAGTTGGCCAACAGCTCTTTTCGATCTTGGGAACCGCACACCAAAGTCCTCGTGTACAGGAGAGCCCAAGGGTTCATACAAGAGTGCGTTTGAGGTTATAGAGAGTGTCTGCCACTTCACGGTAGGACAAGGCTGGGCATGTGGTTGGTCCAGCAGTCTCTGCTGGCTCTTGTCTTCCCACAGCCAGGCAGTTGTGCCACCCAGCAGCAGCAGTGCTAGCAGAGCCCCTGCAGTGTGAAAATTGTTCCAGATAAGCCTTGAGGTCACCCGGGGACTAAAGGGGTTGTCACTTGCTATCCAAATTTGTTTCTTTACAATTATGTTTTTATGTACTCTTTCCACTGGTGTGTTCTTCCTTGTGCCTTAATACATGGAAGAAAAAAAAAGATTTTACCACAAAATACCATATTTGTAACTATGGAAAAACCCTGAGAAGAGTTGGGAATAGTTTCTCCTGATCTTCTAATTGTAATTTTTTGCTTGTGGTGGTGATGTTTAGCTTCATTTGCAAAATACTACTACAGGAGATGTCTGAATGTGCCTTTCGTATAATAATCAAAATCACAGTTGCTAGTGTCTTATTCCTGCTTTTCCTTAAAGAAACTAACAGTATTTTTCAGTGAAACTGTCTGAGAACATGAAAGCCTCTTCATTTAAAAAAATGCAAAAGGTTAGCCAATCTCAATAACAGAATTCTACTGTGTGTTATCTGTTGGATAAATCTACTCCTATGTCATTAGATGATAAAAGCTTTATTAAGTTTTTATTAACTTTAAAAGCCAGTTGTCTTTTGTAAACAGAAGTATTCACTTCCTCTTCCTTCTCACTTTTGTATCTGCCACATTCTTCCTTCTTCCCACTCTGCAAAAAAAAAAGTATCAAATCAAGCTTATCCAAATATCATCTATATTTTAATAACTTTATAACACTCTGATTTATTTCTTGCATGCTTTCTTTCATTGGCTATTTGCAGAGCACAATTTGACATAAAGGGTTAAGCCCAAATTGTGGATGCTCTTTACCCTTGGTATTTTCAAAGCCTAACGGAACTCTCTTCCTATAGTTTTACATTGATCCAGCAAAGCTGCTGCCCCTTCAGAGGTTTTTGCCAAGGCCACCTGGAGAAAAAGGTGCTCCTCGAGGAGGTGGTAGAGGAGGACGTGGTGGTGGACGTGGAGGAGGAAGAGGTGGTGGTAGAGGTAAGATCCCAAGAATGGAAGCTGCAGAATGTTGAGGTTTTTTGGTGTGGGGTGGGTTGGTTAGGTTTTTTGTTTTTTTGGCAGTGGTTTGGGCTTTTTTGATAAAGCTGCAGTTCAGTACTTGAATACTAACAGTTGTATTACAGAAATACACATAACGTTTTTCTCTGCTTGATGACTCAATGGAAGAGACAATGATACCTTTCCAATGGCAAGACCTAGGCTTCGGGAGCTAGCTAAATAACAGCTCCAAAGCCTAGGTAGGAGAGTATGCTGATGTAGAACAAAGACAGAAAGCGTGACTACTAAGCAAGCTTGTGGAAAAAGATTGTAGATAATAACACACTCAAAACCTGTCAGTGAAAGCTGTTATTTTTAGTACGTTCTAAAAATCTAGTTTGGACGAAATACTTGAGATGCAGTGTTTGAGAGAGGGGTGAATGACACGATAGATCGCATCCTTCTTTGCTTTTTGACATCATCTGCGATGTACTCCTCAATTAAAGCTGAAGTTAATTTTTTCTTACATCGCATTTCTTGCCTGTGCTCCCTACCCTGCCCCTTTGCAGCGAGGCACAAGTATTTCAGTTTTTTGTTTGTTTTAATGTTCTGTTGAATTGTAATTAATTATTAATTAATAGTAGTAATTAATTTTTGACTTCTATGAAAGAAGTTTATTGTGGACTTTTGTTAGCGTCCTTAGTATTTCGGACATTGCATATCAGATATTAAACAATACCTAAAATGCTGCAGATGGTCCCTAGAAGAGAGAAGGTACTAGTAATTGACCTAGTAACTGTCCAGCAATCCACAGTTTCTGTTTGTTTTTGTTGTTGTTCTTTTCCTTTCAAAAGCTGTCAATGAAATAAGTTGTTAGACATAACAAAGAATTTATACGCTCCTCAAAGTGTAGTTTCTTTCCTATGTTTAGGAGGATTTGGAGGAGGAAGAGGTGGAGGAAGAGGTGGAGGAGGATTCAGAGGAGGAAGAGGTGGAGGAGGAGGAGGATTCAGAGGAGGAAGAGGTGGTGGAGGCGGCTTTCGGGGTGAGTGTGTGGTTTTTACATTTCGGTAATAAGAATGGCTCTTGCTTTCTAAAGCTTTTAAATATTAGACAGAATGTTGTATTTTTTAGTCTCTTACAGATCTTTATAGTTTTATGCAAAAGGTTTCTGTGCATCACAGTAGCTAGCTTAAACAGAAGCGCAGCATTCTGCATTTTTTGATGCTTGTGGAAGACCATGCTAGTTTTTTGCATTCAAAAAGGACTGTGAGAACAGATAATGATGATAAATTATTTTATTCTTTCAACCTGTTTAGTGTTATGTGTATAATTTATTTGCTTTAAATGCATCTAAGATGTGAATTGTTTGGTATATTTTTCTTCCCTCTTAAAATAGGAAGAGGATATTAAAAATGGAGCCACAAGTATCTCCCCACTGTCTTACCGTATCATCTGCGGAAGTGAAGAACAAGGAAAAATTTTTGTAAAGGACCCTGAAAAAGTTCTTTATAAAAAGAACTTGAAGCTGTAAAATGACAATTATTTTTACACTTAATGACTGTTGATCAACACATGAGGAGAGCATAGCTCCAGGTGAAGAACTGAAGACTGCTCAGAATATACTTGAACTTTCTTAACTAAGTGAGGATTCAATGTTATTCTTAAACTGTTTGTTTCTGACAAGTGACATAGTCAATGCTTGACTTCATGTTGGAGTTTGGAGTAAGCAATCAACTGAAATGTTTTTTAAAAAAACCCTACGGGTTCACTACATGCACGTTCGTCAGTATGAACCTGTTACCTATGTGTGACTGATCCCAGTTCTCATCCTCTTTTTATATTGAATCTTCTGGGTTGCTCTAAAGTGGACATGCCATTTAAACAACCTTTGTGAACCTTTTTTTACAAAGTAAACTTCAAAATTTTGTGTTGATAGAATTTTTTTATACATAATAATGTATAAAAGGAAAGGAAGATAGCAAAGGATATTTTGTGGATTTTTCTGTATAAAATCTATGAAAGCCAAAGGCATTAAGATGTGTTCTTCTTAGAAGCTGCTGTCTAATGAATAAGACAAGGTTAATGCTATTCTTAAGTCACCTGATTGTATCTAATTACACTGATACTAAAATTGCTAAGGGTTTTTAACTGCCCTTACCTTCCCCTTCTTCGTCTATTTCTCTTGACGTTTTGATATCCTGGCACCGCACCTCTGTGGTGCTCAGAGCTTGCGTCGGGCTAAGATTAGATAGCCCATCATGGGGCTCCGCTGCACACAGTGCTTGCGGTTAAGTGTTGCTTAAAAAGGGCATGAAAAAATCTGCATGAGCCTTTGGTCTCTTTAGTTGGATGCATTATGAGGATTCTTGAAAAGCTAGTAACTGTCTCTTCTTAAGGGTGGAGGAGAACAGGGTGCCTCTCTACTGTTTAACTTTGGAAATAGAATAGAAAAGTAGAATCTCCCTGGATTTCATCCGGAACCGAGTCCATTCACAGACTCATAGTAAGCACTTTTGAAAAGGGATCTGTAGAATAATCTACATGGAAGTATTTTGAACATCTTGTTCAATGTGGAAAGAAGTACATTTCAGAATTGATCATACTGTCCATACTTTTTAATTAATTAATGCAGTAACAGGCAAATGAGTTGTATTAGCCTTCTGCTTAACAGAAAGAAGCAGGTAATTTGTCAGCACCAAGATTGGACAGTTACTGGTAATTTTAACAAATGTGACTGTTAGTTTTAATAATCTCTGGAACAAAACTTGAAGCAAGATGGCAAAACAAATGTTCAAGAATTCAGTTAAGTCTGAACAGATGCTGCACAGGGTAGTAGATAAAAATGTTCTTCAGCTTAAAAAAACAAACCATGGAACACTGGAATTTCTGCTAGATCTGCTTTTGTGAGGAGGAACTGAGTCTGCTGTTCAACCGCTGCACAAACAGGAATTGAGGGATACCAGTTATTTTCCTGGTATTGCTACAGACTTAACTTTAACCAACCAGGTCAGCTAAACCCAGACCTCTGAAAATGTTTAGGCTTTTGTTGCTGTGTATTGCTAGGCCTAAGTGACTCAGGGCTCTGACTTGAGACATGGTAGAATTGCGCTTTATCTAGACAAAATCCTGTGCAGTCGTTGGTATCTCTGGCGTACCACATTGCAGTTGAACAATACCAGCCTGCAGTGAAGCTGGAACTGTCATTACTTTCATCCTATTTGAAATTGCATCCTCTGCTGTCCTGAATTTCTTCACTGGTGCTTCAGTAGGTAGTTGTGGGTAGCTGACTTGGATCTTTCCTTATTCTTCTGGCTTTAGAAGACTAACATAACCCAGTCCCTGCTCTTACACCCGAATTCATGCTCTGTTTTGCTATTCTCACTGCATGCTTTAGGGACATACTTTTTCCCAGAGTACCAGCAGACTGTACTGCCATCACCTTTAAATTGCATGATGTGACAGCTGATATTTCCATCGCGCAGCCTAGGACAAGAAGCGTATGCTTTGAATCTCACAGCAGATGGAGCAGTGAGTCAGCCTGAAGCCATCGCAAGGCCAAAACAAAGACTTTTACATCTGTGTGCGGAGGAGTTAAAGAACAATATCCATTGCAGCTCTAGAGAGAAAATCAACCTCTTCATTATAGGGAATGGGATTGCAGTCCCAGCTGCGAAATGCATGAGGAGCATTATGGCATATCCTACACATACAAACAGTGTTGGATGGGATTAACACAAATATCCAGAGAAAATATATAATCTTAGATCTTTGTGGAGGTTGCAGGATGTTCAGATGCTGATGGAAGAGCATCCTTAGTGACTGGGTGTGAAGTGAGCTGCCATATGATGAAGCAGTGTCTGGACATGTCTACCATGTGGTGATGCCTTTTTTTTTCTTTTTTTTTTTTCTTTCTCTCCTTTTTCCCTTTCCCCAGAATGGGGAAGGATCATGTGTGGTTGTGGCGAGGCCCATCCAGTCCCTGTTTGGCCTTGTCTTCTCTGTGCCACAGCATAACCCTGCCCTCCTAATGCAAGTAGTTGTTAACTGTAATAGATGAAAATTCAATGTCTTTTTTTTTTTTTAAGACTACCTGTCTTGTCTGCAATAACCTAAAATACAGGTTCTCTAATTTTATATGACACCTTCCTCTCTGTCTTGAACTTTTTATTCAAATCCTATCTGTCATTTTGTCATTGAGCTCCTGATCCTAGCAAGTGAAGTGTTTTAAGTTTTATATATGTGCTTACAGATATCCTAGGCTTTTCCTGCAGAGAATAGGAAAGGTGGGCTCACCAGCAACCTTACAGAAATAGGTATGTTGGCAGAAATGAAAAGTTTCAAGTAGCTGTAATGTCTGGGGAAAAAAAAGTCAGTGCAGTCTGAAGGGAGAGGGGTGAGGGGAAGGTGTTAGTGGCAGGCGTAGGCTCTCAGTTTGGTGTTCCCTGGATTTCCCCTCACAGGCAGCCTTTGGGGCCAATGGCTGGGCCACCTAAAGAACTTCTCACCTGCCGCCTGCACGAGCAGTGCAAAGGGGGTTGTTGTGCTGCAATATTCCTCTGAAGCTCAGGAAGAAGGTAAGCTTCAGGGCACCTCACAGTGCTTGGCTTCCCACCCAGGACATGGTGGTAGTGGTGTCACCTCCCTGTCTCCTTGTCCACTTTGGTCAATGTCTGCACGTGCTCACTGTTGGCAGAGAGAGTGTTCAACCACCAAGTCCCATTTTCAAAATGTGGTTGCAGGTAAATGTGTTAGCCGCTGTAATATTTGACCCAGACACAGGGTCTGACTTTCAGCCGATTTTTGAAAATGACAACTGGTAAATCACAAGGATCCGATTGCTTAAAGGTATTTAGAAGACCTTGAGCCTTTTGTCCTTGCCACACTAAAATTCTGGGTTTATATTTTTTCTATGTGGGTATCAAAATCCTTGCTAAACAGAGGGAGGATGATATGTGGAGGTGTATTGTAAAGCTGAAATTGTTACCCATTGAGAATGGCTTTCTCCTGCATTCCTTCTTGGAGGAATGTTTTTTCTCCTTGTTTTTTCTGTGGTTGCTGGGATAGGATGATTCAATATAGTTCATAGATTTGCTGTCTTACTTTGACACAGAAACTTGATAAAGTACAGAAAATAATTGGGATATTTTAATGTATGTGCAGCGCTCGCTGTTGTCGAAAAGAAAGGATTTTCTCTGGTGCTGACACGAAGTTATGGACATTTGCCTGAATCAGTGCTGCTGGTGCAAAGTTATTTTCAGTTGTACAAAGCATTGTCTTGGCAAGAAGGAGTCTTGTCTTTAAAAAAAAAGCATAGCTACTGCACGAATTATAGCAAGTAAAAAGCTTTGTGGAGTCGTACGTTTTTCAGGGCATTTTTTTCAGTCAGCTAAAAAGCTCTTTAGTTTAGAGTCAAACTTTTCTAATCAACACTTTAAATCTAGTAAAAGTCTCTATGATGGAGGGAAAAAAGTGATTTATTTGTTTTCCATGGGGTTTGAACCATTTGCACCTGTGAAAATAAGATTGACGGTAAGCTCTGCCTTACAGAGCCCTCTCGTGGTGATGTGCTTAATAAACGTGGGAGGGTTTGGTTTGGTTTGGTTTGTTTTAGTGTGGTTACCACTGAAAATAGAAAAGAGGTTTTGTTTTGGTTTTGTAATGAGTTTTGCATTGCCTCATGTCTATGCAGATACCTACAAATTGAAGAATGGCCTTAAATAGAAATTACATTTTACTGCTACTGCTCTGGGACAAGTGGGAAGGAAAAGCATCATTTGAGGTTATAAAGTGCCCCTCTGACACTAGTAATGCTGTCTGTTGTTGGAGGATAAGAACAGCCTGAGGTTTTGGTTGTTTTTTGTTTTTTTTTCCTTATGCCAATATTAAAAAGTGATATGGTAAGCCATATTTGATCTGGCTTGGGAACTGTGGTTCCAGCTTTCTGGATTATTTGTATACTTCAGTATTTATTTCCTTGCTTTATCTTTTTGGCTTTGTTTCATGAACTGCAGTATTCTAGAAAAAATTACTTTTAGGTTAATGATAAGTAATGTCTGCCTTTAATTTTGACTTTTTTCTCTCAATTCCTGTTACTCTAAAATTAGCCAAATTTAAGAGGAGGAGACGGAGACAATGTGGTGGTACGTAGGATGGACTGCACATATTAGAAACCTGTGTTTTAACCAACAAGTACATTATAAAATCTGTGTGGTCTCATTAACTGCTACTCGTAAGTCTGGAATCATGTCTGAATAAAAATAGTGATGTTTTGCTTTTCTGAGACATTCAGCATTGCAGGCTCTGACTTCTGTGGAAGCTGCAAGATCTGAGATGCTTTTGAAAATCTTGCCAAAGTTTCAGGGGAGGAAAGCAAAGATACTAAATTATCACCAAGCTTTTATCTTTCGAGGCAGGACTATGGGGCACTAGGGAAGTGCCTTCCTTGCCAAACAGATCATCTTTCCTTCCAGAACCCTCCCACCCTGTTACTGCCTAATCCTCTTCTGACAGGAGAAATACCGGAATAATACAAGTACCCTGAGAACCGTAAGAGTGAGTGTAGATCTGTGGCATTAAAGAAAATGTTTCCTGGTAGAACTGTGACATGTGATAGTTTGTAGTAATGATGACCAAATGTTGTGACTGCACAAGTTTTATATCAAAATTATGTCTTACCTTTAGATTCAAACGGATGAAAGATGCAGGATTTGGATGTTTTGGAAAGCTGAGGAGTGGGAGGGAATGCTCTGTGAGTGTTTCATGGGTTAGAGAAGGGAGAGCTCTTTAGGTATACTTCCTTTCTCTGGGGTGGCTGGATTCCCCAGTACTGCCTGTGGCACTACACCCTTAGTGCTGCTCGGAAGACACAGCCCTAGCCTGGGAGCCTTCTGGAGCTGCCTGTGAACCACACACAACTGAAGAACCACTGGTTGCTCATCCTTGTCACTTTTACACCCAATATGAGTACAAAATTGGAGGCAGATACCGTATGAAGCGGAACTGGTGGGAAACGCCTCCTTTGATTACTTATACTGATACTTGCATATAAGCTCTTTGGGCAAGGGTTTATTGCAGCTAATATTTATGCAGGATTTTGTAAAAGATCTTTACTTTGGTATGCTGCTACCTCATCGCTGAAGGGAAGAAAACATGAGCTTCTGCTACCTGAGGCTTTGGAAAATGCCTAATAATTTTCTGCCCAGTAACATCCTTTGAAAATATGCCTGAAGTATGCTTACGTGTGTGTGTTTGGGAGAGAGAGGGTGTTCAGACTCAAAAGGCATATTCAGCGACCATTTGCTGCAGACCAGGCTCTTTTAGAAATGTAGCAGTTGAGTTTTCTGAAAGTCATGCTTCACTTCAGAAAACACTGGACTGCGTTCTTCTTGTGTCTGTGTCAGCTTGAGACTTTAAATCAAACTAAGAATCTTGAAGAAGTAGGCCTTCAAGGATTTACGGGGATGGACTTTAGAGTAAGCGTATCCTGTTTTTTAAAGAAACTGACATTTGTGTCTTTATGTTGTGCTGCGGTTTTGTGTGTTCGCTGGGATGATGGGAATTAATTCCAAACCAGGCTGATGACCAACTGACCCGAGCCAACTTTTGTTGAGGTTTCCAAAGCATTGCACAAGAGGTTTGAAGGAAAAAGTCTGGGGGCATGTGACAGTTAATCTCTTTAGCAGTAAGAATGAAGTTTAAGCATACTGTCGGAAATGTACTCAGTTCTGTGCTACTCTTTGTTTTAATTAACAATCTCCTGCATAGACTGGGAGTGTAAACTTCTTTGTGCTTTAGTCCAATTAAATCGTGCTTGGAGGCTGTCAGTGGTGGGGGGAACTCCCCCCTACCCCCCTTTTTTTTTTTTTTTAATTGTTTGGTGAGTCCATTGAATAATGAAAGAATTTGCCTGACAGGGTTTTGTTGTGTTTTGTCGTCTTGATGAATTATTGCAGAGGATAGACGACAATCTCTTTTGTCCAAAATGCATTGGAATGCTTCATCCAATTCCTCAGAAAATGACAATGAAGCTCATTCAGCCTTTACACAGACTGAGCACAACATAGTTGCAGCTTACTTAATAACAGCAGGTATGAGCAATGGCAAATTGTGTAACTTTTTAAAATAGAACTGTAGATCTGAACGCTCGTTTTGTATAGTAACAGCAATGATACTTCATTTTGTATTACACAAATGTCTGATGGCTTTTCTCCATGGTTTACTGACAAGTTAGCAATCAGTAGGCAGACTGAAGTGCGCAGAAACATCTGAAGTGTGCAGAAACATCTACATTTTCTGCTCTATATTTGAAGGCAGCATTGTGTCTCGAAAAGTATGATTTGTTGATATGTAATTATAGAAGAGAGTGAGAATTAATTTCTGCCAGCTTGCAAAAGAGATAAAAATAGGGCATAGCTGTCACATCTTGCATTTTTCTGTGATGTGCTTGAAGCTATCTTGAGATTCCTCCTGGGCCACATGTTGATAGTAATATACGTGTAGTCTGAGCATGTGAGAGGGTGTCTGTTAAGGGGATGTAAGGGGAAGGGTTGGAATGTAACTTAGAGGGTGGGAGCTTGTCATTAATCAGAGAAGAGCAGACTCCAGTTGCAGCTGTATTTTTCACTGATGACACATGTTAGAAAAAGCATGCTGGAAGGCTTGACATCATGTTTCTGCCCTGTGACTGCAGTGGCCTTTGGATAAACTTGAATAATTACGGATTTTTTATTTTTTTTTTTCCCCTTGAAAACTTTCTCATTGTTATAACCACAACTGTTTCAGTAATGTTTTTCTGAAGCATTGAGTGCTATAGAAATGAAATATCAACCTGACCAAAAACTGCAACCTAGTGTGTTTAAAAATAGGCTTTCTATAACTTTATTATGGAAAATTAAATCAATTTATAAATACTTTATTCAGAGACCATACCATACATTTTCTATGTTGGAATTAGCTTTTAAAATACTTTAAAATATTCATGTACTTTAGGGTTATATGAAATAGTATTGCTGATGGTCACATTTTATTTAGTGTATCTGTTTGAAGTGGTGAGTATCAAATTGCTGTTCTGTAAAGAGGGTATTTTTGAATGCAAAGGCAATAATTTATTTCAGGTTTTTAGAGAAATTGGTAGAACAGCTACACAGATCAGCAGACTTGTTAAGAAGCTGTAGTGGTGGATGATTGGAAGGCTAGATAAACTCTGCAGTACTACCACACTATTTGCAGGTAACTGGATCTATTAGGTGCTGCAAATATGTATGATACTTGTTATATTTTAATTAAAATGGATTACATTGTATGTAACAAGGTGGTCTTTTCAGATAGTTTGACGACCTGGTGTTAGGGATCAAAGCTATCACAGGTGATCAAAGGGATTAGCTAGAATCAACCCAGCTACTCTTTCTTAATCTTGTATGGAAATTAAATGTCTTTTTTTAAAAAAAAAGTTGAATTATTTTGTGGTTTTTTTTTATTTTGTGTTTTTTTTTCTTCTTATAATTGAGGGAGTCTAGTAAATCTTTCACCTGTAGCTTAGACTTTGCTTTCTTAATGAGAAATGTTTTTGGCAGTAAGGTCTATAACATCTTTGAAGGTATGATTGATTGCTTTGCAAATGCCTTACCACAACAAATGTCACATCTGGAAAATTTCAGCTGTGTTAATAAACAGATGTCTAAGAATAAGAATGAAGTACAGGTACGGTGTTCATCATTATGCTGCTTTTTAAAAGGTTTGAATGCTTCTCTCTTTTGCAAATAATTGCTTTGTTTTCTGAGAAGGATGTAATTGTTAAATATTGCACTCTACAGTGATCAATGTATTAATATTAATGATGACAACAGGGATACTCAAGCTGCAGGAAGCAATACTGCCTCATGGATATCCTTCAGCCTATAATGGTGAAATGCTGTGGTATCATTTTAAAATGCTAACTGGACAAGTAAATTCTGTGTTATACACAGACCTAACCTTCATTGTTTTGCCGCTAGTACCCATGTGTCTTGCTTAACACTGTTAGGGCTTGTATTTGCATTTGGTCTGCCTTTAGTTTTCATTGCTTCCCTGGGAAGAAGGAAAATAAGAAATTCTTCTGCTCTTGATCAGGTCATGAGGTTTTTGTCTTCTACTATTGTCTTACTACCTGTCAACAGGAGAGCTGACGGAACTGGCACTGCGAGTGCTTTTACTATGGTGTTGATTTCAGACCAGATTCCCAGTTCCCTGCTTTTGTTCTTGTTAGGGGCTCACAGCATCAGAGTGTCATTCCTGAAATGTGTGAACATATGAATGTGATAGCTGATGGCATCTACGCGGCTATGCACCTCCAACATCATCTATAACGTAATTTTTATGTACTAAACAGGAGACTTACCCCTGAGAACAGACATGCCTGGTGGTTTTAAAAACAGAATGCAAAGAGAGATAGCCCAGAATTAATTGGAATTTTGCCTCATTTGATTTTAAAATTACTGAATCTGTTAAGAGAGTTTCTGCAATGTAGGAGATTGGTACTGATTAATAAAATGTTGCAGTAAAACTCCTTCTGTGAGTTTCAGATATAATAAAAAAGGTACTAATTTCCTTCTTCCCTTTTTCATATCTGCTGAGTACAGCAGTTCAGATGGTACTTCTGATTTGTGTTTGACTCTAGGAATGTCTGCCTCAGTTTGATTTGCTGGGGCGTGTGCTGGTAATTATAAATCTATGGATGGTGTTCCTCTGTGCTGCCAGTGATGGAGTCCACAGGACTTGCCATGATTTGAAGGCATTTCCATACGCATACCAGTTGAAGTCTTCAAAAATTCAACTGTAGAGCTGAAGTGCTTGAAACTGATTCTTGCCCTCAGGTTTTCTAACCTTCCTGATTCGAGGTTATTGTTTGAACTGCAGCACAGTTGCAGTCTGACTATGAACTGATCTGAGAGATTTTTAACTGTGTGCTGCTGCATTGATAGTGACAGAGGTGGAAGAACATTGTACAATACCTAAAAACCTTATTGCCCTTTCCACATAGGCATGTTGGCTAAAGCTAAACTGTGTGTGTCAGGTTTTTGGTGGAGCCGACAGAGGAGCAGAAATCCCATCAGTGAAGGTGATGAATTGCCAGGGGATTGGAGCAGGATGGACAGTGACTATGAAAGAGGATGAGTCTGCTTTTGGAAGTCCACATTCAGTAGGACAGCCATTCACTCAAACTCCTTACAGAATTACTCCTCAGATCTGTGATGGTGAAAAGCATAATGTTTTGATTCATAGATGAAACTTTTTAAATAAAATAAAAAAATAAAAATTCTGAGGGACTTTTCCATGGATAATGTCTTGTTAGACTTTTACCAAAAAAACATTCCACTATGCACTTGTAATTTAAGGTGCCCAGGCTATACAAATGTCTGTAAGTTTAGGATTTGGTTCAGTGATACTGTAAGAGCTGTGCCAGACTATGAACAACTTACAAATTCCTCTTATTATTTACAGGTTATTTTTTTAATAGCTGTGTTTGCTTGAACATGCTGGAGTTCTCCATTTTATTGATAAGGGCTGTGAGTCTTTCTCTGCTGAGGTGCAAGGAGGAGTTTTTAACTTTATTAGCTCTTTATTAATAGCTGGATTAATAGTGAGTTAGTTAAAGTTTGGAGGATGGGAGTTTGCTCTGGATATCTCTGCAACAGGCTAGAGTCTGAAGAGAAAAAAACCACAACAACCGTCACCCTGTTTTGCGGGAGTGCTGTGTAAACTCAGTCAAGAGCCATGCAGCAGGATCTGGCTAGGAAGGAGGAATAGCAGGAGAAAAGGAGGATCTGGAGGTTTTAATATAGGTCACCAGGATCAGAAAAAGCTTGCTGACGCACAGGGTCCTGAAGAGTGTCCTGGGCACCTCAAAGAGTGTTAAGTCCAAAGCAAATTTCAGAGGGATTGGAGATGAAGAGAGGAGAATGTACATTTTAGCCTTAGTACTGTATTTCTTTATTACAACTCTTTGTCTACTGGCCATTTCTTGTAGTAACCTGAGCCAACTCTGATGCTTGCAAAGAATTGGGACCTCATGAGCAAAGAGAGGAGTTAGTCTGGCTAGGGTAGTGGTAGCAAAGTCAAAACTTCTACATTCATTTTGCCCAGGATTATTGTCTGAATGCACAGTGGAAACTTCCCTGAGAAAGGAGGATCTCAGGTGGTGGCAGGGGCTTTCTGCTAGATCAGGTGCATCACAAGCCCTGCTTTTTTTTTCTTTGCCAGTGACCAACCTGCATTCTTTTTTGCCATCAAAGACAGCACTGTACTCAGTGGCGGGAGTGTTTGAAGTGTAATTCTAGATGCTTTTGAATTTCTGCTATGCTTGTTGTCATTGCATCGGAAGCCCCTGGTTCAGCAAAAGACTCCACTTTTGGTCCTTACTGAATCCGAGTGAAAGTTACTGAATTGGAAAAGCTTTTCCCTCCTTTTCAGGTGTCTGTCCTCTTTGCAAAGTTGTGCTTGACTGAAAATAGAACTCGTTTAGGACTTTAGATGTTACAATAGGCTGCATTTTCTTCTGCATGTATATTACTAGCTGGTGTGTATCTTTTGTAAAGTTTACCTTTTTCTGTTTTTACAGGAGTGATAAGCATTTTCAGTAACATTGTTGTGTTAGGCATCTTTGTTAAGTACAAAGAGCTTCGGACAGCAACCAACACAATTATTATCAACTTGGCTTTTACTGACATTGGTGTTAGTGGCATCGGTTACCCCATGTCCGCTGCCTCAGACCTGCATGGAAGCTGGAAATTTGGATATACTGGATGCCAGGTATTGCAATTCAGTCGGAGAGAAAGTTTTGAGCACTTAAAAGCAAGCTGAGAAATAATTAGTGGCTCTACCTCATATTAGTTCTTTCTAGAGATAAGATGGAGTTGCAAAATTTGACTCGAAGACCTGAAGCTGATGTTCTGTAATGTCAGCAATTTCTGGATATAGGATTTCATACGAATTTCATTCCAAACTTGTATTTATAATCTGGAAACATTAAAGTGTAACCTTATATTTATCAAGTAGAGATTTTAAAATAGCTTTAAGAAAACTTAGGAAATGAAATCCTGAAATGAAGAAAGTTATATTAGCACTTGCACATTTGGTGACTTATTTGATAGTTAAAAGACTTTGGATGTGGCTACTGTTTTGATGATGAGCTTGACAGATGTTAATGAGTTCTGCTTGGCAAATACACATTATTTTGGATGAGACTATTAGGATATCCAAATTGAAAGCCTGCAAGGCTATTGGTCTCCATTAAAGATTTAACCTAGTTTTAATAGCTGTCTATTTTTAAAAATAGACTGGCTGAAAAATTACACTTCCATAGCAGAGAGATGGTGCCCTTTGCTTGCTATGTACTGTGTTTTAAATCTGCTTTTTGAAAAGACTGTTGGGCTTAAGTGTCCGGGAAAATGAATAGTAATGTGAAGGCGTATGCTGAAAATGTGACTTAAGGAAAATATTAGCAACATTATACATTTTGGGCCCTTAGATAATGAATGTTTCTAACAATCTGACATCACTTGCCTGAGCACACAGTTATTTCAAGCTCAAAGTTCGGTCACTGTTTGACAGGAAGCCTCACTTTTAACATTTGGATCTAGACTGGCTTGTAGTGCGTTGATGTGAAATCTCACTACCAATGCTTTGGGAGTTAAGATCACTTGAAGCAGAACTCATGTCAAGCTAAACCAAATGAATTCTGTGAACTGATGTGGCTGACTATCATGTGGTTCTATTATAACCGCTGGTGGCATGTGGTCTGACCCAAGGTGCTCTCTTTCTGGGGTGCCAGTGGTAACACAGCCCTCCCTCCCAGTCATCCTGGTCAGGCTGCCCACGGGCTGACTGGGCAGATGCATTTGGAGCACGTTGGGATCGCAGTGTACATCACTGCGCAGCAGATCTGACACATGTAAAAATGGGGTCTGATGGGTAAGATCAGTGTACCATATCTGTGGAATAAGCGTAGTTATACAATAGAGGAAAGAGTGGCAATTCAGGACCTCACATTTGCTAGAGCCATAACTTTTTTGATGAATCAAATGCTCATCAGGTTTCTTTAACGTACATTGAAAACATTAATTGAACCCTCCCAACCTCCAAACTCTTTATCTCTGAATCTTAAAAGTTACTGATCAAAGTATGGTGTTTGTTTGCTTTTTAGGCTACTGTCTTTAGGGTTTCTGATGTGCACTCAAGCAGGCTGCTTTTGAAATGTTTAATTTTAAATGAGCCAGCTCCAAATTGCCTGCGTTGAATCAGTTCCTTCAGTACCTTGCTTATGGAAGAGAATGCTGGCTAATGTCATGTATCATAGTGCCTTCAATTTGGTCGACAAATTTGTGCTTGTACCTTTGAAAGATTTCTCAGAAAGGGTTTTTTTGTTTGTTTGTTTGTTTTAATTTCAGATCTATGCTGCCTTAAATATCTTTTTTGGGATGGCGAGTATTGGTTTGCTCACTGTTGTTGCAGTTGACCGTTATCTGACAATCTGCAGGCCTGATATAGGTACTGTACTTACAGTGGAAAATCATTCGCTGTTGGGCTTCTATGAAACAAGAGTCTGATTGTATTGTTTTCTCGTGAATGACTCCATTACAGTGCTGGGCATCATTTGAATTTAGGGCATGATCCTACAATACTTGATTAAGTAAGTTACCTAGTTGACATGGATGGTACTGCTTGTGAAAGTGAAAATTTCACAATTAGGCTGTTGCTCTGTTTAGAAATTGTATTTTCATGGCTGTTTCTGGTCTTTGGAGGGCTATATACAGAAGCACATGAAAAACCTGTAGCTCTGGGAGGTTTTGACCTCTTTCAAGCAGGTGTGTGTCTCTAGTGTTGCGTTAACTCTGTAATGGATGTTTTTTCTCTCTTCTCAGTTACAGCTGTGTTAATTCCTCCCTCTGCAATCATGCAAAGATGTGCTTGAATGCACTGTTGCCTAATAGCTTTTTGGCATGGGGTTAGGATCAGGTATTGCCTGTATGCTGTGAGTTGGAATGGGTGATGGTATGTTTAAGTGGCATTAAAGACTGGAAAGCTTGAGATGTCATACAGCGGTATGAAACAGGTATGCTGCAGTGTTCGGCAGTTTAGGCCTTTGAAAGGATTGTTATTAACCTGGTGTGTGCTTGCTGGAAGCCACTTGTCATTCAAGCTCAACACTGGAAAGAAGCAAATGATTGACAATGGTTTGTGATTGTATGTGCTTGACCACAGGAAGAAGAATGACTACCCGTAGCTATGCCACTCTAATCCTTGCTGCTTGGATAAATGCAGTCTTTTGGGCTTCCATGCCTGCTGTAGGCTGGGCTAGCTACGCTCCGGATCCAACTGGAGCAACGTGCACAGTAAATTGGAGGAAAAATGATGTGTAAGATTCCCCTTCACCCTTTCTATTAAATTTGCTATCTTATTGAAGGCTAAGATTATTTAGTTCACCACTATATGAGCGTAACTTCTTCTTTCTGAAGTATGAAGCCTAATGTATAAAACTAATTTTAAAACAATGGAAATAATACAGAGCAAGTCTAGAAAAAACATAGGAATTGAGCCATGCTTGAAAACTGCAAGACTTATAGTTGCTAATAAAAAAATTAAAGCTAAAGAAAATTTTCCTAGTTCTTTAAAAGCTTTTGTTAAAATGTCATAATCAAATCAAAATATCAAATTCTTTGGTAACTTTTCCTGGATGGCTATTTGTAAGTTACTGTGTTTTGTTTTTCTGTCTTATCAGGTCCTTTGTTTCCTACACAATGAGTGTAATTGCTGTTAATTTTGTTGTACCCTTAACAGTCATGCTTTACTGTTATTACAATGTTTCCCGGACAATGAAACAATATGCCAGCAGTAACTGCCTGGAGAGCATCAACGTAGATTGGTCTGACCAAGTAGATGTGACAAAGGTATGGTCAACGAGGGCGCGTTTTGTTTTAAGTATATTCTTTTGTGTTAAAGTCTTGAGGGCAAAGGAACAGTGCAGCCTTTTAAGCGTTTCTGTTTCCAACATTCCCCATTTTCCTTTTGTACTAAATATTAACTGAAATTTAGCCTTGGTGAAAACTCTTGGCTTGATTTATAACACAAGATTCCTTACTTTCGGCCCAATACTCTTCCAGATGAACAGCTACTTTGAAGGCTGGGAACAATGAGAATTGTCCTTGCCTCTGCCCTCTGTCATTACATAGAAATGTACCTCAGAGGTGTTCTAGGAGGAGTTTACTCTTTGTGTCTGCAGAGTCCTTAGGCTTTCTGCTAGGTTCACAGTTCTATCTGATCTGACATTGATTGGTCAACTCTCATTTGAACCCATGGCCTAGAAATGAAAGTGTATTTCCAAGCTCCTGAGCTGTGTGATTGCAATCCCTTCTTCTTTTTAGTCTGTTGAGCTTATCTCTTTCATATGTAAACAGTAGCAAATTTGAGTTATGGCATAAAATGATATATCCTGCCTGGAAGGTTGACATTCTTTTAATGTATAAAAGTCCTTGAGAAAGCTTGAAGTTCACTAGCTCCATTGGTTTTGTGTAAAGATTTGAGTTATGGTTGGGCATGATGAAAAAAGAGAGAATTGGACAGAAGAGTATGTACCTACGCTTTTGAATTACTTATCAATGCAAACTTAACATTCTTTGGAAAACTTTCTCATTGCTAAATCCTGAAAGATGCTATTTTTACCTAAAAAATAATAATTTGAGCATTTTGCTCTTCTGAAGAACTTTCAGAATGCTTGAAACAGAGGATTCAGCTATAAATTTATACTCAACATTTGTGAAGAAAATGCATTATTCCTGTTTTGCGATTTAAGACACTGACTTATATTGGAAAAAAAAATATTGAAGCTTTGGAGTTAAGCAGTATCCTTCTTTAGAATTGGACTGCTTACTTTTTCACAAATTAACAGCTTTAAGCTTTCTACACACCAAACAAACTTCTAACCAAAAGAGTTCTTTCTTTACATTATTATCAACAGGTATTGCGCTTGTATTTAAGTCGGAATCTTTTGTGGGGAGAGTCACTGCTTGTTTATTGGTTATGCTCTAGGACAGCTTACACAAAGTAGCCATTTAATTATTGTTTCTCATCTTCTTCTTCAGTGAAAGACTGAATAAGGGTATAGGTAAATGATCCTAGGAATCCTGTACAAGAGCCCTGCAGTTTTGTTTGGTTTTCCAGTGATTTGTTTTGTCCTCTTCATTAATTTGAGATTTCCATTCCAATTTCCACTACTGATTCATGACCCTGACAGAAGTCTATCCCAGTTGATTACTCTCCAACCCTCCCACTAACCCCAGTTTGTTGCTGTTCAGTTCTAGCTGTGGTGTCGTGTGTTGTGGGGTGTGAGACCCAACATACCCAGATTGTTCTCTGTGACAGGCAGGCAGAGAAGATGTGACTGCTCAGGTATCTCCTCAGTATGATGCTTGAACAAGGCTGTCATACTTCATGAAACCAAGCAGATGTTTCTGAGTTCATTAAGTATATGGACTGAGCCTTTGTGTCCTGGAACCTTTACTTTCTTTTATTTAACTGTACCATAGTTAAGCCTTACGAAACATTTTTATTAACAGTCTTATTAAATGTTTGGCTTAGATTTTTCTCTCTGTTCATATTTATTCTTTGTAATAGAATCCCAGAGTGACATTTTACGGTGGTTGTAATTCACATTTGAAGTCCTCTCTGGCCATTTGAACTTCTGATGGACAGATTTAACATAATCAGTAGTGCTGACTGTGAAGGAAGATTGTATGTAATGAAATAACAGCATGCCAAAATGTATGGCAGTGTGATGTGCTATTAAATCCCCAAAGTGAGATTTTGTTATAAGCTGTCAAAATTTGTCAGGTATGCTTGTTTACATGTTGTTACTTGGTTCTGGATAGCTCTATTTTCACATAGGTGCCTGTGCTTTTGAGGTTAGGTTGTGAGGTCTTCATCTTCCGGTAATACTGGTTATGTGCCTGTTCCTCTTGTTTTACAGATGTCTGTGGTGATGATTGTAATGTTCTTGGTGGCGTGGTCTCCATATTCTATTGTGTGTTTATGGTCTTCCTTTGGAGACCCAAAGAAAATTTCTCCTGCAATGGCCATCATAGCTCCTCTATTTGCAAAATCTTCCACGTTCTATAATCCTTGCATTTATGTCATTGCAAACAAAAAGTAAGTGTTCCTAATTTAGTATCAGTCTACTTCACGATTTTAGCATATCATCTGATTTAGAAGGACACACTGATTGGTGAAGAGATCAAAGGGTAAGCCACTGTTGGTTTACCGAAGTTGACCTTTTGGACAGGAAAGTCTAAAAGAAATTGGTTTGATCATCATCAGAACATACTGAATTGATAAAGATTTTTAAGAACATATTAACAAAGCTTTTGTAAGACCGTTTTGAAAGTTCCTTTGTGGTTTCTCAAAGGGACTTGTTACAGAATTTGGGTTACTTCAGCAGTAGACTGGTTTTAATGACTGTGGCCAACGTGTGGCAGCTTAGTGACGTGTAACTTCTGTAGATTTCCTTGCTTGATTTGGGATGTGTCATATTCTAGCTGACTAGGATGGAATGACACTTTTCGTTAAAGTAAATAAGTTAAGGCGATTCTTCTATTTTGAACAAGCATATCAAATGCTCTAACCAAGCCAGTGCCTCTGACTGAGAACTGGGTTTTGCAAAGAGGCATCCTTCCTTTCTCTACTGCCAGCCTAGAAGCAGAGCCTGTGATCTCTGTCTAGGTGAACTTCTCTGGTCTTGCTTGTGAACTTATCTGATCTTTCTGAGTCAACAAAAAAACATCTTGGTTTTTCCCTATTCTGTAAGTTCATCTTTGTCATGGCTATACCTGGTCCTGGGATAAGCAAAAGCTGCTGTGACCTCTGTTGTAGAAGAGACACTGAACTTAACTGAGTTCTTTCTGTACATGGAAGTGAAAAAGACTCGGGTCCTTTTGAATTCCAAATACACTATTTTTTATTAAGTAGGTTTTACTAAAGTTGAAAACTGTTGTAATACTTAAGGCCAGCTAACCCAGTTTTTCTTAGTATTTGATTCTCCAGCTAACAATCTTTCTGTTCTCCCTTTCTTGTCCTTTGCAGGTTTCGGAGGGCAATCCTGGCAATGGTGCGATGTCAGACAAGACAAGAGATAACTATAAACAATGCCTTGCCCATGAGTGTATCTCAAAGTGCACTGACATCGTAGAACTCATGTCATTTGCCTGCATAAGGAAAGGACTGAAATCTGGGTTGAAGTTATTAATCTTTTGGAAGATTAATCTTTTGGAATAATAATCTGCCCCAACCAGCTGTTTTCTGTTAATCACAGTAATCTTTTTAGATAGGTTAAGAAGACAAAAAGACAAAAACCACTAAGACTTTAGTTTTTGAGACTGAGGTTTATTGGTGCAATATGTCCTTCCCAAACAAAAAAGGCTAGTGAAGTGGTCACTGTGACTCTTACAGGGTGGGACGAGGTGACGCAGGGGCAGGGAGAGACTGAAGCAGGAAGTGCTTAGGTTCAGTGACATAGATTTTGCACCTGTAATTCCTTTCATGAATTATTTTCTCTCAACTTCCCTTGAAAGTTTTCCAGACTTGAAATATTCTGGATTCTCCCTGTGTGAATCTATTTCTATACCAAGTGTCCATGTTGATACGCTTTGCAAAGTTCTGTTTCTGTGAGTGTGTTAGGATATCAAAATATCTAGCCAAACCCTGTAGAAACCTGTTATCAGCTTTTAGAATTTTGAAAGAGTTTCAGGATATTTAATATATTTTTAAAGTTTTGGCTCACACAAACAAATGAATTTGTAGGAAAGACAGCTTTTGTTTTAGTACTATTATGTTTCTAGTGCTTGTGACTGCACAGCAAATCCTGAAAATGAGACAGAATGCTCCCTAAAGCTTGACACTTGGGAGGCACATAAAACTGAGTAAATATTTATGGTCATTTCTCATAATTTCTAAGTCAGTCTCATGGTTATCTAGGTCTGTTGTGTAATTTTCAAAAAATACCTTTGGCAATATGAGCAATGGGTTTATTCAGGATGGAAAAGATGACTGTGTATAGATCTATTTATGAATGGTAGCATATGCAGTCTTGATGATTCTCAGATTTTGAGAATAAATATCTTCCATTATTATGTATGCATGCATCTGAAGTTTGGCTTTGCAGTGCGTAACTTATTTAAAATATACGTGGTTTTTTGGTGAAAACCTGTTTTTACAGGATTTTTTAAAAGCCCTGGAATCTAGGCTTCCTATTAATTTGTAATTTTTAGGATTAAATAAAATGCCATGCAATATCCTCATGCTATACTAGATTTGCTTCAGGAACCTTGAAACACTTTATGGACAGTAACTAATGCAGTGCCTCTTACAAGGAGCAAAGAGATGTTTTATGACATACTAACCCTACAAGCTACGTATTAAAATAGCCTTGAAACATGCTGAGTATGATTTGAAACAGAGTGTGTTCTTCTGACAGAATAAAGAATGAGCTGGTTTAACTGATCCCTTTCAGGATACATTTGAAGGTTAAGCAACTACAGATCTCGGCTAATCTGCTGTAATCTGCTGTTACTAAATGGATGTCTACATTCACATTCGTAGGACACTGCACATGAGTGCCTAGGAATAAAGTTTTCAAATTTTTTCATATACGTTCTGCTGAGAGGAAGCCATGTATCTGTTTATTTACTTCTACCTCCTAATGAGCTTTTTTGAAGAAGTACGTAGTTTTTGTCCTTCACAATGCACTTGCGTTTACCATGGCAGAAGCGATGGCACCGGAACAAGGTATATATTTTATTATTTGTTATACAAGGCGATTTATTGAAGAAATTGGAAATAACATTTTCATACATTGCAAATTACTTCTAGCATAGTTGAAATAAGGCATATTTTACACTGCTGGTGTATGGCTAGCAGTGTTCCTGAATAGGAGCAGATGGTGATTATGGCTTTGTACTTAGCAAATAGCTCCTCTAAATCTTCAGTTTTTGCAGAAGACAATTTCTTTCTGCTCCCATGATTTTGCTACTATTGTAATGTCTTTTCTATTTCTACAGGCTAGTTGTGTACTGTAAGGTGATTCTGGTTTAAATAAATACAGTAGTTTCTCCTTTTTTTAATCTGCAGGAAAATCATAGAACTTTCCTGCAGATGTCAATTTTGGGAGATGCTTTTTGTCATTGCTACTTATTGTGACAACATATCTAGTATAAAACTGCATGAGGAGGAAGTAAAATAGAGGAAGAATAGAGAGAAAAGGGGAGAAAATTAAAGATAGGCTTATTGAGGAGAGGGGAATCTGAATTTTAGCAAAACAGATGGCGTGCAGTTCCCACTTGAGATACATGCATGTATTATTCCTTATACAATGGCTTCTATTTTTCAGTTGTCAATAGAATGATGGACAGAGGATGGTACTTACGTGCTTTAGAATAAAGCAAATCTAGATTTCATGTGAAAGTATCATTGCTATTTTGTATTCTTTTTCTCTTTAGAAACTCTACGTTTGTCTTTTCAAGTTTTAAAAGCATAGAGGACTGTTCTTGATTTGATGTTCTTTATTCTGCTAGTAGTGTTGCAGAAATAGCATTTGCATTGAAGTCTGAAATACAAATTTCTGATAAAGAAATGCTGATGTCTCTTTCTCTTCTGTTTTGTTTTGTTGTGGTTTATTTATTATTTTTTTTTTTGATGCTAGGTCTGTGCTCTGTAATGATCCTGACATGTATGAGATCCCTGTGAACGTTCCTGTGGATACTGTAAAACTTCGTATAGAGAAAACTGTCATACGAAGGATTCCAACTGAAGCCTTTTACTACCTAGTGGATCTCAAATACCTGTGGGTAACTTACAACTGTGTAGCCAACATTGATATCAGCAGTTTCTATAATTTGAAACAGCTGCATGAGCTACGGTTGGATGGTAATCTGCTCTCGACTTTCCCTTGGGAATCGCTGGCAGAGATGCCCAACCTACGGACTCTTGATTTACACAACAATAAAGTGACCAGCATTCCCGCTGATGCTGGCCGATACCTGAGAAACCTCACCTACCTGGACATATCCAGCAATAAGCTAACCACCTTGCCGTCAGACTTGATGGACATTTGGCCCCCCTTCTCAGAGGCTGTCCTGTCCAAGAACACAGACATTCTGGCGACCCAGAGAGTCATTTTGGGTATGTTAAACAGCCAGTCTCATTCCTTATTAAAATGTACCTAAATGTTAAGTTGCAAGTGAGACCAGGTAGGGGACCAGCCTGGGAATCAGGAGAGTGGGTTTTAACCAGGTCAGTCTTCTGGTTTGTTCTGTGATTATTTATTTTCTGTTGGTGACAGAAAACTATAAAATGAAGATAGTGGCCTCCAGGAATGTTGTTATCTCAAGGTTATAAAACTGAAGTAAAATCTGTGAGATTCCAGTCTACTGGAATACAGGCCGTATGGATCATTCCATATCCATATAAATGCAAGACTTCCAAAAATTGTGTTTCTGATGACATTCTCCTCATCACTGTACATGGTTGCATCTGCAAGCACGTCCGTTTGCAACTGTTTTTTCCAGTGACTCACAAGCCAAACAAGTAGCTAGAGTTGATGCTCGTATGAAGCCTGTCCTGAGACACAATCCTGCAGATAGTGTTGCTGGCTTAAAAGAGGGCAGCTCTGCTCTCCCCAGGATTCCCATTGACCTTGCATTGCTCTAAAGCTGACTGATTATCGTGAAGTCTTTCCCAGTTTACATGTTGAATATGAGAGAGAGAACAGAAATCTGATCCCTACAACTTCACAGTACTTTTTATAGTATTTAAAAATAGTTTGGCCAGGCTCTGATTTTTTTCATTATTTTATTCCATCTCTAATATACTATCACATCAGTTCCGTTTGTGATTTAGTGCTTTATCTTACACTTTCTTTCCACTTCCTAGTCTTGCAGGTAATCCATTTCTCTTCTGCAGCCTTAGAACGTGTCTGGGGCGGCTCTATCAATAGCATTCTCTTTGGTCGCTCTTTATGTATAAGTGCATGTTTTGATGTTTTTGTAGTGTAGGGTAGCTTGTGGAAGGGAGGAAATCCAGCTGGCTCTCTCTACTGCAGTAGTTCTAGCTTAATAAACGCAAACAGGCTGAACAAGTTCCTCACATGAATGGTAACTGTAGGTTTGCAGCATTAATAGCATCTGTGTTTATTCAGGATTAAAAAAAAAAAGAAAAAGCTGTGAGAGTAAGTCCCGCTCAGGACCCCTTTCCCTGTCCACACACTGAAGACTACAGGAGACAGTAAAGCAGAAGCTGACTGTGCTAGACCTAATCCTCCTGATGATCTCATGTGGGAGTCCCAGAGGTCATTTGGTTTCCTTGTCTTACATAGCCCTCACCACTTAAACGAAAGAAAGAAACAAACAAAAAAACAAACCAAAAATCAAACACCAAAACCGCACACACTCTTCTCTCCTTCCCTCTGGCAATCATCTGCAGGCTTTGTTGGTGCAGGCACTTTGCCAGCTTCCTCTAGTCCTGGCAAACCCTCTGGTGCCAGCATTGGGCTTTCTAGAGACTTAGGATGTGACCTTTGGATCATTTTCATTTATGAACTACAGCTGGGTTTGAACACAGATCTCCAGAAGGGAACACACGCTGGGTTCAAACAGCGCCTTGCTGCTTTTTTTTTTTTTTTAATGTTACGTGCTAAGGGAGGCTCTGTGCAGTCATAGATTTGGATTTGAGAATGCAAAATGCCAGGTAGTGTTTTCATTGTGTTGTGTTGAGTGAATCTACCTTAGGTAAGCTGTGAATAATCAACTGAATTTTCTTTTATTGACATCATAGCTGCCTGATGGGTATATCCCAATGCAGACAGACAGTGCTTGCTATATAAGAAACTCTATAGTGAGTAAGAAAACATCCCATTCCTCTGGAGAGTAGAAAGTGCAGTCGTCTTTATGTCATGGGTTATTTTGACAAGATTAGTCTCCACTAAGTGTAGTTTTTTTATCTGTGTTACTGGAGCTTGTGAAGTTGTAGTTATGCCACTCACACTCACTGCTCATCCTTAGGTTGCTGTTGATGGACTGCTATAAAGCATTTGTTTTTCAGGAATGAAGGGCTGATAGAAACTATCAGGCTAGAAAGATGACCTAGGAGTTGAGATGTCTCTAACACTCCAGCCATAGGAGATGTCGGCTTGGAATG